GAAAATTGGGGAAGTTGGTTTTGAGCAAACAACTATGAATTGATCGTTCAATCTTCAACTACATTGACACTCCCCGGCAAAAAACCGATCCATCCCTTTTTTCCATCACGACCAATACATGTTGACATGGATGCCATTGCGAGAACCTGGGTCACACGGAGAGAGCTTAAATGGAAATCAAACAGAAAAGCCAACACACCACAAGCATACTCATAGCGCAATCTCACACATCAATGACGACCTGCGCCTTCCAGTTAAAGGCATACACTTGACACATCCTCTTGCGACACAATCACCACTTGCTAGAATGACTCTTGCAGAATGCAACGTGACCATAGCACCAACTCAAGATACTCTACGCACATCCTCTTGTCTACTCACTACCAATTACCACCGAAATCGCTTGTCATTCATTCTCCCTCAGTTCTAGTAACGGTGACGCATGCGAGCCTCAGTCGTTTACACTCTTTCTCCCCGGCGTGTGGGACGGCAGCTAACAATTATCTCCGTGTGCATTTCATTCTCAGCAATAGCCTCCCCGGCGTATACGACCCATCTGCTATCCTTAACATCAATCAATTCATTCACGGATGTAGAAGACTCGAAACAACTTCAGAAGTAATCACGACGAAAATTTTAACAAAATAATGTAATAACAACAAGGTACGAAAACAAAACGTAAACACAATGAATCCAAAACACCACCAATTGATATGACACACCACACGTATATACAAACAGTACACACAAACTCGCAGATCGTGTCTCGATGGAATTCCTTTGAAGAATTGCAGGACTTACACCAGTACGCCTGCAAGTCTTCTCAGGTTGACGATTGTAATTTGTGGAATGTCCGGACACAAACAAGATTAACCAACAATTACAATAATTGGAACTCACACAATTATTTAACACAAACATATGTACAATCAACACATCAAAGTGGTGGATTCTGCCTTGACGAACTACCCTTGAAGAACTGTAGGACTTACAGCAGTACGCCTACATTCCTTCTCAGGTTGATGATCCTAGTGGAAGTCGTCCAGACACAAACAGAACTACCAACAGATAGATGACAGATGATATCAATTCAGTATATACGATATGAACATATGTACAAAATCACACACCAAGCACATTGGACTGCTCATTGATGCGCTACCCTTTGAAGAATTGTAGGCTTTACAGCAGTACGCCTACAACTCTTCTCAGGTTGACACCCTACACTTGAAAATCGTCGCAGAGTTCATTTGCTGACTTACTTCTATCAACTATATCCTCAAATCTGAACGGTAACACGCCAATGTCATTGTATCGTAGAATATAGATGACTAACAAACACACGACGTATCTGGTCAACCAAGCGTAGACACAGAGTAATTTACACTAAAGATAATAGCATTCAATTAGTAACTTGAAACTAGAAATGCCTTTATTTATGCAAGTCAATTTAACAATTACTCTTTCGTTTACAATTGGCTTATTCTCACTAAACTGAGCAATATCTTTCGTCTTTTCAAATGCACCAATACTATCAAAATCATTGCACAAGTTACTTGAGTTGATGGGCGTCTTTTCCATTGTGGATGACAACACCAACGACGACTGATTGATACCAGTTGATGAAGTTAGCGGTGGATCAAAAGCTGTTGTTGCTCGGCTTTCAGAAGTTTGTCTACCTGCAAGACCACCACCACTGCTGTCTTTTACTATCAGGTCAGGTTTAGCAATAGCATCTGATGATAGGTGGGCTACATGCTGATCACTCACACTGACGGTCTCACAAGTATGCATGCCTTCTGCAACTGCATCTGCATTTATTTCTACTTCACCTTCAAGTTGTACAGAACCTTTGTTCAACTTAGCAGTAGTAGGCATATCCCTCATCTCATCATGATCAACCAAAGACAAATGTGAAGTATCATGATCCTTATCACGAATATTCACTTTACCGTCAACTTCATCATTTTCAAGCTCTTTAATAACAGAAGTAGACAATTTTGGTTCCTCCTCACAAATCATTAAAGTTTTTATATCTTCACTGTGACTAGTAATACCTTGTAAACTTGTGGAGTCAGAACTGCACCCTGAAGCAGTAACTCTATTCTGTGAGACTCTATTCAACAATGGCTTACCAGTTGCAACTATAGGCTTCCTCACCACACCGTTATCGTCACACAATTCGGAGTCAGGCCTGGAGTTTACATTTAGCTTATCACTGAACTTGCTCACTGGTTCACAGTTCACCTCTGTATGCACCTCTTGCAAACGTGTACAACACAGTAGTGTTTGTCTTGCATCTTGTAACTTATCTGTTGAGGATGTACTACGAAACCTGTTACACTCACTAGGTCTATATACATTACTAGATATCATGGAGCCTTCTCGATATCCACCTCTCTGAGGCCCTTTCGTCATCAATGATTGCGTTTTTCCCTTAGACTGCTCTATTCTATGGGTGAGATGCAATATACTGGCAAACTTGCTCATAGATAGATTGACACTATCTTTTACTAGTTTCAGGATATCATCAAATTTTGGCTCGATACCCTCATCCTCCATACGGGAGCTTATCTTCACCCACTTCCTTTGCAGTCGAGTAGGTAGGCGTCTTGCTATTACTTCTAGGATAAAACTCGAGTTGAGGTCACTCATGCAATTCATCGAAACCAATGCATTCTTGTAATTCATCAGATTATCCATAAACTCAGTAAGTGCCTTGGAGTCACCTTGTAGTTGACTACCATTACCCTTAACAGCCTCGAATAATTTCCCTACAATCATCGAAGGTCTTCCAAACCTTTGACGTAGTATGCTCATAGCCTCGTCGTAGCCCTCTTTTGGCTTCATAAACTTACAACACTGTATAGCTCTTGCAGCATCTCCAGTGCAATGCGTCATCAAATACATTTACTTCATTTCATCAGTTAATGAAAAACCACTTAGCATGATCTCAAACTCCTTTACAAATTGTAAATAATCAGCCGGGTTTCCATTAAAACATCGTGGTTCAAATGTAGGGAGTTTGATGTTCCTATTATCCCTGAACGGCGAAACAGTAACATCAACCATGTCATGCTTAACATCAGACACATCGTTACAAGTAAGAGACAAGTCAACATGAATTACTTTCCTGTTTGCATCCAAGACACTCTGTCCCTTCTTTGACCCAGGCATTGTTGAAATTGACCCAATTCCAAAAATATTCCAGATATTGCTTGTTCAAAGAGGACTTGACCGGTACCAGGAAAGATGAACGGTGACTATCCAAACTGTCACCAACTGTCTGAATCCGCCAGAATCTGTTTCCACCGTCAGAAACTGTCAGCCACGTCTCGTAAACCGTTAACGCCCAGCTCTTGCTACGCTGGGACCCACGCTGTTCCTTGAAGTTTCTCAGAAACGCTTAATAATAACGGACGCGAAAACCAAAACACCGATTGGCCGCTCGAGAATTGTTTATTGTTACACCAACATATAAAAAATGTTACCATTAAGGTCTGTGAACTAATATTACAATAATAAATCACAATATTACTTCTGACGGTTTACTGCTGACTTCTTTCTGAACAGTGACCGATGAGACGATGGCTGGTGTATTGATGCCTCCGCGAAAATTGGGGAAGTTGGTTTTGAGCAAACAACTATGAATTGATCGTTCAATCTTCTTCATCTGCATTGACAGCGGACTTTGCGTAGGTGGATACATGAAGCAGATAGATAATCTGACTCTCAAGGAACAGCCACAAAGATATAAAAGACTAAATTTTATTGAGAAACAACCAATCAGAAATCTGTGTTTGTCAGTTAACAATAATTTAAACCAATGTGCATTAAAATCTATAAATATGTTTTGGTTTCCTTAATTAACAATCTGTTGCCTGACTCTTGCCTTCTGTCGTTACAATATGACTATGGGCACGATGACATGAGCGTTGAAAGTAAGTTCCAGTATGATTTAAACAATCCAAAAGACTAGAGCGAAAAGTGGTAAGTGACTCTGAACCCAGGTAAGTGCGGTATAGCTCACCTTGGACGATGGAAACAAAGAATGTTCCTATATATGTACGGTAAGCTCCTCTCAGAAACGAACAAATTCGCAGATCTCGGGAAAATATACTCAGATTTAACCTTTTCCTATCATGCAAATAAGGTAGTAGCTGACTGTGAACGACTCACTGGCTTCGTAATGCGTGACTTTTACACTCAAGAAGCAAGATTAGCTCTATATCAGACATGTATTCGCCTCAAACTTAAATATTCTGCTCTCATATTCAGTAAACTAAGGTCTGCAGACCGAAAAAAGTCGAAGGTGTCCAGAGGTTCATCACAAAAGTAATAATAGGGTTTGAGCAACAATCGCGATATGTTGACAGGTGTGTACGTCTGAAAATAGAGCCCCTATGGTTAAAAAGAGTGAAATGCAACTTATTTCTACTCTTCAAAGTCATTAGGAAACATTGTTACTATAACTCACCCATAACGTGGACAAGTGCCAAATCATATCAGCCCCCAAGCCACGATCACCTTGTCAAGGTAGCCACCCACAGAAAAACCATTAGGGCACACTTTTTCACCATTAAATATTGCACTTTTTGAAACCAACCACCATCTGAAAATAGATGTTGTGAAAACCTCTATGGGTTCAAACGGAGCCTAGAAAGACACATTAACATATCGAAATTATTTCATTATTGTGCCATAATATAGAATAAAATTCTTTGCAGTTATATTCGATGAGATGTTGTTGCCATTTATACCTACTGACCTTTTTGTGACAATGTCGCTACATATTAGTATAAAACTTGGGCACTGTGGCAGAGTATAATTCCATTATAGATAAGATTTTATTTTGATAAATCGCACAGTGCCCTACAGTTATATGAACTGATGACGTTTCGAGCCCAGTTCAGTTCATATAACTGTACAACACTGTGCGATTTATCAAAATAAAATCTTATCTATAATGGAATATCGCTACATTTTGTTTTTGTTTGAAACGGTCAATAGTGTACTCGCATGAAACTTGCACTTTTTCAAAATGAAGGACTGCGCGGAAACTAAAAACCATCAAGCCAGACTTTGTCACTTGAAAAAGTGGCCGAATTTTAGTGGCTATGGATTCAGCCTACGAACAGACTCTTTAAAAAATGAGCATAGGGTTGAAAACGTTGAACTGCTGTCACCCAGTGAATCAGGGGGTCTCCTCGCCGGTGATATTATTCTATTGGTGAATAACAAAAGTGTAGGCAAGTCTAGATTCATACTTACTGTCATTCAAGTAGATCGTCTTTCTCATATAGAGGTTGTGAAAATGATCAAAGAAAAACAAGATGTGGAGTTACTAGTTGCTCAGCCTTATGATTTAGCATACTTTAAAAAATTCAAAGATCCACTAACTTTAGCGTCTAAGGATCCAAAACGATGCGAGACTTCAGTGGAGGTAACATTTTATATCTGACGTTTAGTTCATAAAAACTGTGGTTTAAACCACAATAAATTTATTATAGGATTTAAACATTTATTTATGATAATAAGTTTATTACCTTTAAATCATTTTTATTGTTGTGATTTTTCGAACCTTTTACTCACACTGATCATGTGATATAATCAATTTTCATTGAGAATAGTCGAAAATTTCACAGTTGGTTAATTTTTAGTACAGTTTTAACATCAGGATCCTTATCTATTTCTTCACAGACTGTTTTGTAAAATTGTAATGTCGTTTAAAAAATTCTCAGTATGATTTGTTTCCTTTTTTGTTTAAGGTGTAGAGTGAATCAACCTACGCTTTCCGTGGTCATTTTTAATGCCTGGTTCATCCCATTTCTTTACCAGCGTTAAAGATGAGGGTGACCAAAGCAAACGACCAACCGGATAACCTTAAGTAGTTTCAGTGAAGTCTTCATAACTATAACGTACTCAATATTTTATTAACCTGTTTAATGAAGTACACTTTCTTCTCACAAAGGATTATGGGAGAATTTGAAAAGCAGTATTCCAGCAATAAGCACGTTGCAAAATGACCTGATATACAATCATTTATAATATTTTATGTACAAAAATTGGTTTGGACTAATACTAAGTACCCTAATGACAAACGGGGAGACACTTCCAGTACATAAAACAGATCATCATCTTTTATAATAATTTTTCTGACATAATTGGCTCACTGTGAACTAATTTAATCCAAAAAAAGCACCTCTGTTGTTCAAAACTACTTTATGGTCCTTTTTTGACTGAGCATTCTTTTCTAGCCGTATTCACATGTCAGATTTGGATATTTTGACTAAGGATAGAATATGTCAGACCTGTATTAATCCTTTTCTAGCGTTTGTGTATGTTTAGCAATTGTATTCCTCTTCAGGGACGTTTAAATATCTGCTCTAATGATTGAGGAAAGAGCTAGAAGAAATGTCACTTCACTATGTTCTCCCCACAAAATCGGTTTATTATTCGTTTGGCCCTAAGCCTAAGTGTAAAACACAGGACAAATAAGTTTGTTAGCTTTTAAGTCTTCAAACCATGATTGCAGACAGAGTGTGCTTCTAAAGGGAATTCTAATGGTTCATTGGTCCCAAGGGTAAGAAAAATCCTTTCGATACGCAGTTTATTTTATTTGAACCAGCTTCTTAATATTCTTTCAGAAACTAGCGCTAGGCGTAAATAAGTTGTGAAAATACTTTAAGACCTGGGAACATTGTCTACATGTCTTTCGAGTTCTAAAGAATATAAAACAAATGTTGTACTGCTTTTCTATACGTTTTAGGCAGCATTCCTTCACGTGATTTGATAAGCTCTTCTGAAGTGTTTCTGCTCTCATCCTTACGAAAGAGACTGCCATCACAAAATTGTGTGACTTTACAGTCACTCTTTACAATGCTTATTGACATGTTTTACCAATAATAATATCATCAACTGTTGTTTCTACTATTTCTGAAGCTTGAATTTCCGCTTGGTGCCATCCACTTTTGTCGGGTTGTTTAGTGTTTAAAGAGTTATATACCACGGTCACTCTATTATTTAACCCTTTCACCGATTTTTAAATTGTGGTTTCAGTTCCATGTTTTGATTTTTCGCAAAAATGGAACCGAAATGGAACAACAAATCTTTTATTGATCTGATATTGTTATTCAACAGCCGCTTGAAATTCTACGCAATTTACAGTGGGGCAACACGTTTGTCATTTGTTTGAAGGCTAGTGATATTACCACGACTTCGAGAACCTTGGTAGTTGGAGTGGGATTCAATCCTTCGATCTCTTGATTGGCAGTAGATCACCTGAACCAATGTGCCACAATTCCATTTTACATTGTGAGTGTCTAAACATTCATCTCAAGTTAATAATGACATCATATTCAGATAAGACGGCCACAGAATATGTGTCGTTATTGATTTTAGTAGCCCACTGAGTCACATTTCTTCGTATTTTGCGACCAAAAAGTACTGATGCTTGTTTCTTAATTTCAGTACTCCTTCAAACTACTCTACTTGGTTTGCAAGTGTCAGGCATGGAACTTTGAAGTATCAGTCATTAGTTTAATATCCACATTAATACCATATATGTGTTAGTTATTGTATGATACGATTGTAACCTTCATCGGCCAATAGGCAAGTAGAACTTATGTACTTTTATTTAGCGACATACTCTTTCTAACTGCTTAGGTACCAGTTTGTTTCTTCTGATGAGATCATGTTTTCTAACTAAGACAGTGAGATCTTTTTATTTTATTTTTTTTATTTTTGATTTCAGCTTGATTTCACACAGTATTTTTTGGTACAGGTGTGGAATTTTCAGCATGTGATATCGTTAGCCCAAATTTTCGCAGGCCGACCATAGATATCAGGTGTGCGTCGGTAGGAGATTGAATCCCAGACCATGTGCATGGTTGGCGACAGTCTTAACCACTGTGCCACCGACGCACATTAAGTAGGTCAGCATTACAACTTACATGTTGAAAAATCTTGTTTATCAACAAGAAGTTGTAGAAAGGGACTACCAATCTGATTAAGACTCTATTGGTAACATTATGTTGTTCACTTTTTTAAGAAGTGAAGTTGAAAGTAAAAAGAAGATTTTGTATCTTTTAGCTGTGGTTCATTTATGTGATACATGGAAAGTAGTTCCAATTTTCTCTCCTTCATTTCTTTGCCTTCCATGTGGAACACACGACTTCAAACTGTAGCTCTGAAGTTTCAGTAGCACTGCAGTTATGTGACTTTTATGCGGTGTGGTCACTAGCCTTACGTATATCAACGAATATTCCTTCTATTTCAGGCTAACTAGGTAAGGTTTAAGAGTGTATCAGCCGGGAGTTAAAGTCGGCAAGCTACCATTGCAGTATTGATGGACGAAGCCATATTACTTTTCTATAATTTGGTTTGTAAGTGTTAGTTATGTTTTTCCCGAGTTAATCACTGAACAGGATGAAACAGCTGTCCAGTACTCCTTGGTTTTCAATGGTTCTCTAACTGATATCAATCCGTGATAAACTCAGAGGTACGCATATTACACCTAATTAATTTATTATTTTGATGGGATTATTGGTGCTGTGGAAACTGCAACGTAAAAAATCACAATAGTTTTCTTCAAAGACAAAAGGGAAAGTCACAAAAACACTTGGGATATTGGACCTATTCAGAAATGTTTTTGGGAATACAATCAACTTCTAAACACTCCTATTTCTTCTTATTATTATCATTAAGTCTGTGTGGAGGTCAACAGCTCACCCAGCATGATAATGAAAGTAAGATCCGGATTTTCAACTCCAATGTGAAGTCAGTGCTACTATACGGATCAGAGACTTGGCGCGTCATAAAGAGCACCTCAAACAAACTTCAGACCTTCATTAACAGTTGTCTTCACTCAATACTTAAGATCAGATGGTCAGAAAAGATCAGGAACAGGAATCTCTGACAATGAGCAAACCAACACAGCAGGAACCGATTGTGAAACAAATAAGCAGGAAGAAATGGAGATGGATTGGCCATACTCTGAGGAAACCATCAAGTGACATCACTAGACAAGCCATTGCTCGAGTGGAACCCGAATGGGAAGCGGCGAGTTGGTCGTCAATGCAAGGGTGACTTGGAGGAGGTGGTGTGAAGAGGAGATGAAAGCATGTGGACAGACTTGGAGCGGAGTGAAAAAGTTGGCAGAAAACAGAAGGCAATGGAGGTGCGCAGCTGAAGCCCTATGTTCCTCTAGGAATTAAAGGATATTATAATAATTATCATTATTAAAAGCATAAACTTGACACATTACTGGCACCAAGACAAGTGTCATACAAAACCAATAAAATAACAAAATATAAGGAAAAAAATGCTAGAATAAATGAGGGAGGTTATGGAGAAACCACGTAAGCATTCATCACTTCATGTTCTTCCCAACTAGGGAAATTGTGATACATAATTTTTATATTTTGATTATAGCTTGAAACCACAAAGTGTTAGTGGTACAAGTATGGAACTTTCGGTATATGATGTCGGTAGCCCAAATTTTGCAGGCCTAGCATTGATATCAGGTGTGTATTGCCAGGCAGTCGAACCTCAGACCATGTGCATGGTCGGCAACAGTCCTAACCGCTGTGCTACCTATGTCATCGTCGCTGACTACGATTCTTGACCATATCTGATAACGTCTCAAGCCACCGATTCTATCTATCTCTCTAACCTCATTCAGGAATTCGCGATTTACCAGCGGAAGACAGTGCAACACATTTTTCATTCCTAGGCGTCACGACATATGCTCACCACCTGTTCACTTTTTATACCTGGTCCCAAAACTAGCGAACATTCATTGGTATGAGAGCCTCTAGGAAACATTTGTAGCACATATTTAAACCCCCCGAAGTTGGTATTTCAAGATGTTCGTGCATCTTTGGGCCAGAGAGGTCAAGTTTTACGGGGGTAGAGCAAGATTGTACTCATCGCAGCATTGTAATCTTGACCTTTAACAGCTAGACCGACGTTATGACGGTGATAGAGGTGGTCTAAAGTGGCGTATACCATGCCAACTTTTACCATACAGAAGGCAGACATTTGTCAGTCACTTTATTAATGCTATAGCTTAGTTTTATCTAGGCCAAAGGTGTTTAATCCATTCTGTCTGCTTATATTTATTCTACCTGGATTTCTTTTTGGAATAAAACGACCAACATGATCCCTGTCTGTTATCTGTCACATGATTAGAAATTGAGGACATTCATTTCCCGGCTTATTTAGATTGTTTTGAATTGTGTTGGCAATGTTGAAATTCAGTTACTGGAGCGGATTGTTTAGGTTTGATTGTATGGAGGATTTCACCATGAGCTGACATTAGTTAGACAACCACTGGAAAACAGCTGTCCAGTACTCCCAGATTTTCCAGTGGTTCTCTAACTGATGTCAGCTCATGGTGAAATCCTCCATACAATCAAACAAAATCCCTACAAAACCAATACTTGAAAATTGTTTAGGTGTCATAGCTTATTCTGTAATAAATGGTGATTTTAGGCGTTTTATGCGTCAGTGGCACAGAGGTTAAGGCGCTCGCCGATCATGCACATGGTCCGGGGTTCGATTTCCGGCCGATGCACTCCTTTACCTCTCTGAGCCAGAAATAATGCTTGTAAAGAGAAAAGGTTGGGCATGAGGCTAGCAACCCCATCCTGTAAAATTAAACACTGCTACAGAAACTTCAAGTCACTAGCTTGGGGCCCTATGTTCCACTGGGAACGTGAAGGAAAGAAAAAAATTTAGGCGTTAACCAGGCCTTAATTTGACGGAATTCCATTTGGATCCAAGACCAACTTTGAAGCAAACAGGCACGTTCGTGATAATAAGATTTTAATGGATCCAGGCGATCTCGAAGAGTAAATACATCCGCATCATTGGAAACGATTTTGAGTCACTTTCCTAACAGTTTCTCGCCATTGATCCCTAGCGTCCCGCAGGCCCAAGTCAAGTAGTCTGTACACCTCTACGCTTTTTTTGTTTACGTTCCCAGTGGAACATAGGGCTACAGGCTAGAGGCTTGGAGTTTCTGTAGCATTGATGATTAATTTTACGGGATGGGGTTGCTAGCCTCATGCCCAACATTCCTTCTTTACTAGTCTTATTACTGGCTTACTGAGATGAAGGAGTACGTCAGCCGGGACCTCTTGCGTGGTCGGCAAGCACTCTACCGCTGTGCCACGTCTACGTGGCTGGCTCAAATCAACTGTTCAACACTTCACAGATTGGTTGGTGTGATGTTCTTAATTGAATTCCGTGTCAATTACCATGCCCAACAAAGAAGTCAATGATATAGTGTGTGGAATGCCTTGTTATGCCAGTGACATATGAGCTTTCCATCAAAAATATTATGTTAAAAAAGTGAGACCTAAACGTTTTGAAGTTTACTCATAGGTGTTTTGAAATTTATTATGATTAGGCATTTGGTTGACCTTGTTTCATAGTAGACACTTGTTGATTCTCAGAAATTCAGTTTTTATGCGTGTATTCATTTGTTAGGTGGTTGAATATATCCTTGAATTCAATTCTGAATCCTGTCTTAGAGCCTACTAATTTCGAATACTGTAATGCACTCCAGGAACCCACTTTCTTTGCAACTAATAGTATTCTGGTTGGTTTAGTTGCTGAGATTTCGTCGTCCATCCGGAGAACATCTTCAGAGCAATATTTAGCATGAAGTAAAATGATTTAAATTTTTTTCATGAGTGTTATAATGGCGTCTCCCGGTAACCATCTTCATGACATATGTATTGATCATTTTCTATTGACTTTGATTTTAAACTTTCTGGTCACATGATTTACGTTTTGATTAGTTTGTATATTTGGTATATATTCAACATTTCTGTTAATTTCATATTCGTTTGGCTTTTAGGAATTCCCTGACTACACTTTCGGTGTTTCCTCTGTCTAAGATTTCGACATTATCCCAATCAAATTGATGTCCATAATTGTCTATATGCATTGTTATGAAACGGGTGTATATATCGTGCCTTTTCATGGCTGATTTGTGTTCCTGGGTTCTGATTCGAAGGGGACTCCCACTTTAGCCTATGTAATGTCTATTATAGCTCACACAATTTATTTTGTAAATGGTGTTTATTTTATCTCCTTTTTCTGTTGGATGGGTCTTTCGGTGTGCATAATATTGAATTAAGCGATTTCACTCGTTGGCTTGTGTGCTATATCTATATCAAACGGTTTAAGTATTCTACCTGTTGTTTCAAACATATTTTTCATGTATGATAGGATGAATTTTCTTTTGGTCTTTGATGACGGTTCCTTGTTGTTGGTGTTGTGATTCGATTTTAAACACTTTTTGATGAAATTTTGTGGATATGCATTCTTTTTGAAGACCATTTGTAGGTATTTTTGTCTTCCATTCTTTTCAATTCTGGAGTGCTACAGTGCTGTGTTTGAATTCTCTTGTGAACAGTGTCTGCACACAGTTTCTTTTGTGAGTGAGTAGTTGGATTATTGCTAGTATAGTTGAGTATTTGATCTGTGTGTGTGCATTGATTTTCTGTATACTTGTGTTTCTTAATTTCCTGTGTTCGATCTTTCTTTCACTTTCGTTATTTATGTATCAATTATTCTCTTCAGGAAATGAATCAGCTAACTGGCGCTGAACGACATTTAATCAAAGCTGATTCAGATACACTGAATGAAATTTATGAACGTAAACGTCATTTAAAGTTGCATAATAATATTGTTGGTCGTTTAAATTCACGTGGCAATATCGGTGTTGAAAATGTTACCATTGACGGTAAATCTTGTATAAATTATGGTTATAGTCATGAAATGGAACACTGAAAATAATGTGGACGATAATTATGTCATTATGAATGATAAGAAGGTGAGTAATTTCATATTAAAAAATCAAAAAAATATTCGAGTATTTCTTTTCATCAAAATTTTTAATTACTTATTTTTGAACTTGAGTAAATGGATATCCGTCAGTCGTTGATTTAGATTGCAGCGTTGAAAAAAGAGAGAAGATGAGAAGTTAAACACTAGTGTTTAGAGGAAAGTCACACATTCAAACAGATATTTGGACTTCAGATCCTCTCATCCTATGTCAGTGAAAATCGGATTGGTGAAATGTTTAAGTGACAGAGCACAAAAACTAAGAAGTAGTAAGGAAAATCTAAGACAGGAAGTGAGGAGTACATGAGAAGCCTTTAAACTTAATAATTATCCGGATAAATTAGTCAGGAAATATGTAAGGAAATGTAAAAATAAAATTAATAATGATATTAGCGATAGTGACAATAATAATATTGATGACGACATGCATGTCAAATGTGCGCAAAGCAACACCAACAATAAGGAATCTAAATTATCAGTAGTAATTCCATACAAGGAAGGAACCTCCGAAACCTTACGTGGAATTCTTAACAAGACGGAAATAAAAGTGACTGGCATTCAAACTGCCCACAAACTCAATTAGAAACAAGCTTCATCGGTTACAGGATCAATCCTGTGGAGCCCTTAAAACAAAACAATTTAGTTTATCTAACACCCTACCCTGCCTCCAATGATTGTCAGGTCAAATACATAGACCAAAGTAGTAGAACAGGGGCAGTCAGACTAGCCGAAAATAGAAAACCTAACAAATTCTAGATTAGTTGACCCGAATGAGATAAGAAATCTAGAGAATAGTTGAGCTATAGCACTCACTGCGTGCAATTACACACAACCATACAATAGGATGGGATAGGATGACAGTTTTAAATTCTAATGTAGCAGGAGGGTGGAGATAGAGATTGATAACAGAAGCTTTGTTTATCGAATCAACTTCAAACACGTGTGTAATAGCAATGATTCAACACTTGTCCAGTCGGATATCTGGAAAATTCTACTACGCCAACGCCAAGAAATAGGAGAAGACAAAGAAAACTATAAAACTCAAGTTTCGAAGTCGTGTGATTACAATTGATATGATTATGAATGGTAATAAATTTTGTTCGCAACTTCGTCATCCAGTGAATACTAATACTGTTTCGCTGACTGTGTGATACATCTAATAAACAAACTAATATGGAATTACTTACTACCACAGTGTCCAAGTTTTACGCATATATTAATTAAGTTCGCGATATCGATTTTGTTCATGAATTGACTTCATTTAGAGAGTAGTTGAAAAACAGAGAATACTGAACAGCCGTTTCGCACTCATCTGAAAATCTTCTAAAGCACCCTTATATTACCCTAACAAGCATCTAATTCAAATGGTCAGTTCATTTAACGTCCCGACACGGATGCAATTGAATACCCCAACAATTCTAACTTATGTCATTTCGTGGTGTATATCGCTGCTGCCAGTTAACGCAGTCGACGAGTATCTGTCCTCATACCCAACTTAGTGGAGCCGACTGGTTAGGATTTCTCACTTGTCAGGCAGTTTCCTTCCTTAGTCATCATTTACTAGTGAGCGCTGGAGTAGTTATGCAAGGAATGCCATCTAATGTTCACAAATTTGAAAATTCATTACAAGATATTTTAAAATATCATTTAACTTTTCAGATTTTGGGATTTCTAAGAATTTTAAAAATTGTTTCATGAAGTGACTTCAGAATGATTGAAAACTATGGAGTAATGGCCAGCTGTTTTGTTCAAGACTGTGACTCTTCATTAGTGTACACCGACGATCCTACTGAAAAGTAGAACTTAAGACCTTGGGTTTTGAATTCAGTCCTTTGAGTATTCATCCGCTGGGTTGAACGGAATACAATTCTTCACAATACATAATGCAGCATTAGCATCCACTTTACAGCTGACGTGCTGAATCCTGCCAACTATGACCTTTCATTAGAACTTCAGGCCATTCACACTTCAGTAACTGATGAGTATCACAGTGACATTCAGGTTTTAAGATTTGTAGGAATTTTGATTAATCATTGTATAGCTTTTTTGGGGATATGATAGTAGTCAGAGAATCAGTAAAAACCAAGCAACACTGAACATTTGTTTCGTCCTAGTTGCGGACTCTTCAATGGCAGTACTACGTTGATGAAATGACAAAAGGTCATGTTCGTAAGTCTTCTTTTTCCAGGTCACTCAGTGAATAATCAACTCGATGACCTCGTAACTTGAAGGTTTGAGATTCCACCCCTGGTGGAACTGTTGGCCCACACACACACACACACTGTTCAAGAGTTCTGAAGTAGAATGTGGAACACCTATTCACTGCTTCCTGTTTTTCAATTATTCTGTAAACAGCGTCTATTTGTGGAGAAATTTACACTAAACTCAGGTTCTCAGTGCCCAGAATATTTGAAATGACCTTAGATATCGGAGAGGCTGTTAATTAAACTGCTGGGTAAACTATGCTGCGCAACTACGCCATAGTAGCAGAAATAATCTCATCTTGTGTATAAGGCATCTATTGGGAAACATAGAGGTAACAAGTTTCAGACTAGCAACGGGTTGACTTTATCATTATAAGTTTATTAATTATTTATCACACTCAGCTTAATGTAATTACTGTCTGTAATTAAATCTACTAATAGTTACTGAGCTTTTCAATGGTTTAAAAATACTAAAGTAGCCAGAAAAATCCAATTTCTAGCTGAGTATTATTTTATTCAGTGGCGAGTAGTAATCACAACCAGGATACATATTTCGTCTTATTGAGAACTCGTCACCTGGAGGATATATCTGCTTCCTATCCAGTGAGTGACTGTATTCTAGCTGAAGGTATTACCGCCTTCCACCCTACCCATCCATTAATTAAAACAACAAAGTACTATCCACGACAGGTACCTTTTGTGCAACGAGTACCAGGTATTGTTTTGTTTCGACCTGGTTGATAATGCGTTTGGCGCTTGAAACGACACATTTAGTGTTCGACGCTCACTCAGTGGGTAGAATGTATAAGAATCCCGGTGACGTCTCCTAGAAAGGATGTAATACACATTCAAGATTCCAGTGTTAATCACCATCAACTGAAACTGCATCATGCTAATCTTCAGACGTCACTGAAGTGTCTGTACTAGGAACCGGCCAACATGTTTGTCAACCGGAAATAAAAGTTTAAGAAAATCATTTGATAACTCACAGTCATTTTAACTGCTCAAATTTGGCTCTTAATTAACAGATTATGTTTGATGTCATACAAAGTTGAAGAATTACAAGCAAAATTCAACAAACTGGTTGAGGAAGCAGCGAAGGTAGAACTCCAAGTGAATATAAAGAAGACAGAGCTGATGAAAATAACCAACCAATCAGCTGCAACAACAAAAATAACCATCACCAGTCACCACCATCACCAGACTTGACGGAGGTTACTTACTTCACTTATCCCACCAGAAAGCATGATTTCAAACACAAGAAGACAGAACGCATGAGGATGTTAAAGGCAGCCAAAATCGGAAAAGCAAGGCATGCCTTCATCAGCCTGATTTTTTTTTCTTCCTTCACGTTCCCAGTGGAACATAGGGCTCCAAGCTAGTGGCTTGAAGTTTCTGTAGCAGTGTTTAATTTTTTACAGAATGGGGTTGCTAGCCTCATGTCCAACCTTTCCTCTTTACCAGCATTATTTCTGGCTCAGTGAGGTAAATGAGTGAGTTGGCGGCCAGGGATCGAACCCCGGACCATATGCATGGTCGGCGAGCGTGCTAACCGCTATACCACCGACGCAGCCTAATACCATTTTGAAAATCTTCTGCTGTCACTCACTCAACCAGCATAAAGAACAAGATCTGAATTTTCAACATGAATGTGAAGTCAATCAGTTCTTCTATCAAGGAGGCAGTGACTTGGACTGTGTGTTACGAGAAAGCATTTCCAACATCCAATCGCAAACTTTTATCAACAGCTGTCTTCACTGGCTTCATATTGAAGACCAAATACCCAGCCAGAGAGAATTAGCAACAAGAAACCCAGCAGTGGAACAAACCAACCAAGAGTCGACCACTCAACAAATAATGTTGGAGAAAATATAGATGGACTGGGCGTACGTGGAGGAGGTCGTTGAATGACATCGCTTGTCAGACCATTAATCGGGTGGAATTCAAACGAGAAACGATGAGCGGATCGTCCGATAGTGACATGGAGGATATCATGTGAGTTGGAGGAGATGAGGAATTATGGACAATCGTGGACACAGCTAAACAGGTTGGTAGAAAATAGAAGAAAGTGGGAATGTCTTGTTCAAGCCCTAGGTTCCACTTGGAACCTATGGGTATAACGAGAATAATTTGGAGCAAATAATATGGTTGGTTAGCAGAAAGATTAAAATTAGAGGGCCAAATCTACCTTTCACCATTATAACTGTTCTCAAAGTCATTGGCACGTTGGCGCCTCTTGGTTATCTATAGTGTAACTTTACTGGAGTTAAATATTAAAGACAGTTCATTTGAAAAGGTAATGTTTTGAATCTTGTAAAAGATAGACACTTTCCCGGTTGTCCGTACACCGTAAAGGTTGTTTGTTCTTTTCTTGAAGCACCTGAAAGGCAAAATAAGGGGTGAATACATCTTATTATAAAATATAACTGATATATTCTTTGCATTTTTTGGTTTTATAGTAGAATACTGGCCGAGAACGCATGTCCTCCGGGTTCAAATCCCTGCTAAAGTACTCCTAAACATCGCTTAGCGAGTAGTAAGCCCAGTGAAGAGGGGAGATTGCTTGTGTGAGCCTAGAAGCCACTGCCACTAGAACATCAGACCTCAAACTTGAAGCTCTAAACTCCGCTCAAAATGCATAAGAAAGAATGAAGTGCTTTAGATCGGTGACGCAAAGGGTTGGTCCATGAGTCCTCAATTATACACCTCATCCAACAGTTATACGACAATGCCGCATGCCAAGTAATCCACAACGGGAAACTTACGGAAGCCTTCGAAGTGAGGA